CGCCATCATGTACTCTTCAGAATCCTCAGATAGCTTTTCCATGCGTTCATTCCAAGTTGTATGGTCATATTCTGACTGAGAGTAGAGGGTGCAGTGTACTTACTGCATCTTACCTGGAATCACAGTCCCCTCATGCTTTCTGTGCTAATGATGTTATATATTTTCCTTCTATATCTTTTAAATCTCACAAGATATAATAATCATTGTTTTAACAGTCAATATTATTTTATGTTTTTCTACAAATTTACCCTCCCAGTGTTCATGCCTTCCTGCAATTTCATACCATTTGGTATAATTTTCCTTTGGCCTAAAAAAAACTGCCTTAATACTTATTTTCTTAGTTTTTGTTTGAAGGCATCTTTATTTTGTCTTCATTTTTTAAGGAACTTTACAATGATTATTGAATTCCAGTTAAATATGTTATTCTACTATCGTGATTTCAATAGTTTCTGTTTAAAAGTGAGCTATACTGGATGATTTCTCCCATGAAGCTAGTGTGTCTATCTTTTGTGCAGCTTTTATATTTTTTTCTTGTCTTTGTTTCTTATGACTTCTATTTCTCTACTGAGATTCTCCATCTATTTGTTTACTGTGAGCATATTTTCCTTTAAATATTATACTTGAATATAGTTATGTTCAATATATAAGAGCTTCTTTAAGATTTATTTCCTGCCAGTTCCTACATCTGGACCATCTCAGAGTCAGTTTCTTTTGACTGCTTTCTCTCAAGCATGGGTCACATTTTTCACGTTTTTCACTTGCCTATTAATTTTTTATTGTATGCTTGACATTGTAAATGATACAATGTTGTCTTCCTTTAATGAATGTTGGTTTTATTCTTATAAATTCCCCTCTGTATGTTTGTTTTTATTCTTTGTTAGAGCTTGTGAAATGGAAAAAAAATTTTTTGAATTTTTTTGTCCTAAGACATGCTATTTAGACTAAGGCATGACCTTTACTTTAAATGGATGGCCTTTCTAGCATCTCAACTGAATGTCTAAAGTGCTTCATGAGGCCTCTCCACCCTGCTAAGCTGTGACTCCAAAATCTCTCAACACTGTATGACATGCAGCAGCCTATCTGCTAGGCCTTACAGAGTCCTGTCATATCTACATTCAGTCCAGCTCTTGGCCAAAGACCCATGTGATTCTCCATGTAGACTTGCAGGGCCCCCCTTTTCACAGCTACCTATTTTCACTACTCTGCCAATTTCAGCTGCTTCAACAGCGCAAAACTCAAATCTCTTTCTCCTTAACTGAGCCTGTTGCTAGGCTTGGGTTCCACTTTCTTGCACCCTAGGAAAAGTGCCCTTCAGCAGAAAATCAGAACAATTATGGGACAGTTGTGGAGCACACCTCATGTGTTTTCCTCCTCTCAGGGGTCACAGCTGTGTGCTGCCTATTGTCTAATCCCTGAAAAACAAAATTGCCTCATCTAGTTTTGTCCAGTCTTAGAGTTTTTTTTTTAGTAGGAGAATATATCAGGTACATGTTTCTCTCTCGTGGCTGGAAGCAAGTTTTTGGTGCACATTAATTTAAATGCACACTGAGATTTAAATCACTGATACAAGAGCTTTTCCTAAAAAGCAATTTGTGACAAAGAATAGATAAGTGTGTTTAGTAAAAATTTTAGGAGGGACTAAAGGGGAAAGGAAGCAATGTTTTAAGTGCACTGCAGGCTAACTTCAAATTTCAAAATTAACCTATGGTATTATGTATATGATACTCTTAGTTGGATAAACTCAGTAAGTAAAAAAGTTTTAATGATATGTGTTTTATGTTATTTGATATATAACCTATATTGTTATGTATATGATACTCAGATTTATAAAGTAAAAAAGATACTTATTTTTTCTTTCCCATCTTTGACCTGTCCTGTAAATACACAACGTTCTCTCTTAAAGTCATTGAATCTAAGTTGGTGACAGTAGACCTCTGAGGCTTTGGTTAAAGTAGCTAAATTAGGAGACAAGAAGAAGCCAGTTCAGACTGAAAGACAAATGACTATTTGGTTTTAGAAGTAACTCTCCATTTTTAAAGGGTGGAGATGGTTTGGTAGTAAATTAGTTCTCTCTCTCTGCCCTGGGAGATTAGACAAACAATGGATCTAACTAAGAAAATAGACTGACTCACTTGGCTACAATTCTATACTGAAGTTACAAGCAAACTAGCATAATCTCCAGAAAGGTTCTGTATACTGTAATAAGCTTTACAGTCAGTTTTGCAATTTCTCATTGAAGAAACAAAAAATCAGGCATTGAATTCACAGATCTGAAGGCACTCGGAACCCTGTCTTTCCTTACTTCATCATCTGCTGTAGCAAGGTTGAAGTCATGTGCAGTTTATTTCATTATATATTAACTCTTATTTAGGATGGTAGTTTTTATTGCAAGAGAAGTGAGGTTTGCAATAGCCTTCTCTCCTGATTTTCTTGATCATTTCCCAAGTTCTACTGGTGAACACTATCTTCAAAGTGAAAATGTCCATCAAGAGAACAGGTAAGGATGAGACAAGAAAGTCAGACCTTTCCGGAAGGAAGAGAAGTTGTACAGGGCTATTAATGGGTCATAAATGATTAGGGGTGGAGAGTGGGAGAGAAATGCAATCACACATCTGGAGGAGACAAGTCATCTGGTTTAGAGTGCCTCTAGGCAGGTCAGGAAGGGGTGTTTGGGTGGACCTTTTTTCACATCTGGATTTAGCTTCTCGAACTTTTTCAGCCTTTTGCCTTTCACCAAGTCTAATTTCTTCTTTGCCAGTGGTCTGGGACTTCTTCGCCTGCCCCAGGATGAAGTCTTTTGGGGTGGACTTAATTCCTTTGGGAGATGGTGCATTCTTTTTCCTGGAGGTCTGTTTCAGGTTTAGGTCATTCCACTGGCCTCACCAACAACTAAAGGGCAGATCTCCTGGCCACTCACTAATTCCCTGGGCGGAGAGAAAGGGCCTGTAAGCTGATGGTCACACTCTATGTATTTCTAACTCCCCTTAGCTATGAGGACACGATGTGCTAAGGTGGGTGGAACTTTGAGTTAAGGAGTTTTTTTAGGTGGTTTCAGGTCTCCTTGTCTGTGAGAGAAACTTACAAGTGCCTGCCTCTTCCAACATACACATCCACACCCCGACATTATTCGCTGGTAAAAGTGAAATTTGCTCAACTCATGGTTCCTCTGGGGCCACCTGTCTCTCTTACATGTCCGAGTGTCTGGATTTATTGTAGGAGACTGTGGACAAAGGAGGGTGGAATGAAATTTTAGCTTATTCTTCTGCTTCACCCAGGAAAGAGGTTTGTGAGCATAAGCCTAGAGGTAAACGAGATATTTGTTGCTGTTGGGTGCCTGTCACATCACCCCCCGACACCCCCCGCCTCCCCACCCAGCAGCACCAGTGTGTGCGCACTCTGTGAGCAGAAACGCACCCGCCCTCCTTCGCGACCGGCACAGACCGACCAGAACTTCCCCTGGGTCGTGGCCCAGCGATACGGAGCAGCCCTGGCGCTGAGCCCTGCTCTTCCCGAGTCGTGGGTGGCGCGGTACTTGTTTCCCTCCCCTCCCTTTCCGGACCCAAACGGGGATGTATCTGGGTCAGCCTGGGAGGGGCCGGACCTGCCAGGGACCGGCGGGGGGGAAGGGGGTGGCGATGACAGCATCTTTCAGGTTTTTGGCGTTTCTGAGCTTCGCCCCGTCCAGCCTCTCACCGCTCTGGTCCCCGGCGGGGCTGCGGCTCTCGCCCGAGGACTGGGTGGGTGGGGGGGAGAACGGTTTCTTCTTCTCTGGACGGCCACCCCTCCACGCCCTGCGAATAATGCAGCGCCCACCCCCACCCCCACCCGGCACACACATTCCGGGTTCCCCAAGGCTTGCTCCCCAGGCGGGCGGCGGGTCCCTCCGCCCAAGGAAAAGAGCAGTGGAACAGTTCACGGCCGCCGCGATGTCCTGGTCTTCCTTCCTTTCCGGTGATAAACGGCGGGGCTGCGAGCCAATTGCTGCTCAAGATGCTCCACCCGCTGGCCCGAGCCCCTCTCTCTGGGCTCTGCCGGGGCCCAGATCCAGGACGGAGAGGGTCCCTTTACCTCCGTAAAGCTCAAAGGCTGAGCGCCAGGGCGGCGGGAGGCGCCCCCGGCGGGCTCTTCGCTGCCTCCGTTCCCTCCCTCTGCGATTCTTTGCGCTGCACAGCGCCGGGGAGGAGCTGGGTGTGCGTCAAAACCGCATCTTCCCCGGACACTTTGGCCGAGGACGCCTGGGTGAGGTCCGGAGGGTCACGGACCTTCCCTGCGCCTCTCTCGGCGAGCTCTGTGTATTAGCCCAGCACCGAGGAATCAAGGCCACAGGTCTTGGTTTCCCCGAGGCCCGGCCCCTCCCACCCCAGCCTTGCCCTGCATACACTCGGCCGCTCCAAATTTACAAGTGCTCGCTCCTACTCTCGGCGTTAGAGAGAGAAGCGGAGCCTTGAGTCGAAACGCTTCTCTGGATTCCTGCATCTTGCACACAGTTATCTCCTTATCCTCTCCCTCGATTCCCCACATCACACGCTCCAGGAATTGTGTTTGCCGGAGGGTCGCCTCCCCTATCCACATCGCGCGTCCCTGCGGCCGGAGCCCACTGATGTTCTTTGGCTGGGAGCTTCCCGAAAGGTGGCTGCCTTCGCGGGAGCTCGAGGGCACGCAGAGGTGCGCCTCCTTCCTCGCCCCACCTCGCGCGCAAACATCTCTTGCCATCATTTCATCCACCCTTGTATAAACCCCGCGCCCCTCCCCGCGGGCGCGGGGCGCAGCGCCCCCTCCTTCGGCTGCGCCCGGGGCGGACAGGCAGCAGAGCGGCCAGGGGAGCGCGGGAGGTGCGCAGAGCTCTCCGGCTGCCCGCGCTCGCCGCGCCTGGGGAATTGGGCTGTGGGCGAGGCGGCCCGAACTGGCCTTTATCGCTCGCCCCGCTGGTCGTTTCAAACTTTATCAGCGAGTCTCGCCACTCTCCGCAGACCAAGCGGAGGCGAGGCGAGGCGAGGCGAGGCGCCGGCGGCCGTGACGAGGCGCTCCAGGCGCTGAGCGCTCCGGGCACGCATGGCGCCCGCACACGGAGTCTGACCTAATGTGGACGCAAGGGGGTTAATATGAACGCCCCTCTCGGTGGAATCTGTCTCTGGCTCCTTCTGCTCTTCACCTGGCTCAGCCCAGAGGTCAGCTCTTCATGGTGGTAAGTCCACGGGCACGGGCGCGGGGGGATTTTCGAGATGGGAATGGGGCTGGCACTGGCCACGGAGACCCTTCCTGGCCGCGCTTCCCCGCGGCCGTGGCAGCCGCGGATTCCAGCCTGAGCCCTGGCAGCTGCCCTCTCCTATCGCCCAGTCCTGAGCCCCTCCGCTTTCCTCCGAAGACCATTCCAGCTCTGACAATTCCAAAAAAACCCCCCACATTCCCCCCTCAAACGAGAGCTCTGATGTTTGGTTTATTTGGATCCAGATGAGCGACAGCAAAATCAGCCAATTTCTTATACCATTGAGAGACGCGCAAGCCGGGTCTTTAGCCCAGACGTGTGTGTGAGTGTGTGTGTGAGTGTGAGTGTGTGTGTGTGTGTGTGTGTGTGTGTGTGTATTCACCTTGAAAACTACACTCGTCTCTCTCTCCCCTCCCCCCAAAATACTCAAGATAAACCGAAGGACCAAATCAGGCAGTCAGAAGCTGTAGAACCCAAAGCGAGGGATTTTGCATTATTTCCCGTCCTTCCACATTCCTACTGCTTCGCCCCAGTGGGGCGGAAGAACGTGTGGTGCCTCCAGGTAGAGACTACCGACCGCCGTAACGCAGAGCTCCAGGGCCGGGGGCTCCAAGATGTTACTCTGTCCAAAACCAGTCCTCCCAAAGAGTAACTTTGTTGCTGTCCTTTGTATGTTATCAGCGATTTATTTGTTTATTTTGCACACTGAACGTAACAGGTCTTAGCATCGTGACAGGTTCCAAGAGGAGACTCTCTCCCCACCCAGGAGCTCTTCTGCACCCAGATAGGGAGTTGAGAGCTCTAACTTCCTTGCACCTAAAAGTTTCCGAACAGATACTGCAATACTGATTCAGAAAGACCTGTTACTGTAGGGTGTTTTTTCAAGAATTTGGCAAAATAAGGAGTCTCAGCCAATTGAAAGACCAGAGCTGGGCACTTCAGGAAGACACTGGAGCGCTTCAAAGGAGCAAGGCAGAGCGGTGATGGGAGAAGGGGTCCAGTCCTTCCGAAGCCACTTTGAGCAGGAAGGCGGTTCGCCCTGATGTTGTTGACACAGTATCAAAGATTGATTTATCAGAATGACCATTTTTCAATAAAATGACTATTTCTGTTTCCATGGGTGTATAAACATTATTTATTGCCCAGGCTTTTTGTCACATTGTCTCTCAGCTGTCACTTAAATATATTTTTTGGAAGTCACAGCTGTAACGATTTTATGATCATATAAAATAATGAAAATACAAGAAAAAGACATTCTCCTTGTTTGATCGCTTCAAAAGACACCTATGGCAGCTTGGGTTATATAAAAGGTAACTTTCTAAACATTTCACAACTAATAGAGAACATCTGGGCAGAGATGATGATGTAATTTTTTGTTAAAGTTTCTTTTCAAAAGTGCTTTATGGAGCTATAACACTGTTTGATTCTTCCAAACATTTAGTGTCCTTAATAACAATAGAAAGAATTTTTTCCAAAGGTTCTCTAAATGCCAAGAAGAGCTGGAAAATGGAAATATTCAAAGGATTCTTTAGTAAGGAAAGAACAGTGTGTCTGTGAGGAGAGTGTAACATCAGATACCAGCAGGTGTCAGTTAGACAGATACAGACAGTTTCCTAACACACTGAAACATTAGGTCAAATAAGTGGGAGGGCGGAGCTTCTAAAGGTCGGCTTCCCCCAAAGCCAAGTCCAGACACATGGTGTCACTGAGATCAGAGCCTTCTTGGGAACAGCCTTTGAAGGTTCTTCCCCAAACATGTTGCCCCTCCCCCTCATTCTGTTCCCTGACTGCAGACCTTGCCTCTCCCTCCCTGTCCAAAGCATCATCTGGTGACCTGGCTTCACATCCAAGAGACAGTCATGGCTCCACTCGGGGGCGGCTTCTACCAGATCACTCGCCATGCCTGCCATGCAGGTTCTCCACTGAACCAAAATTAAATAACCTGTGCTTTCTAACATCCCCCAAAGCATAAGGAATTCATATTAGACACGTGCTTTGAACTCTTCAGTCTCCCAGGAAACACGGCCCCAACACTCACAATTCAGTATTCTCAACTCTGTGTTGGTCTTTTCCAGGTACATGAAAGCTACAGGTGGCTCTTCCAGGGTGATGTGTGACAATGTGCCAGGCCTGGTGAGCCGCCAGCGGCAGCTGTGCCACCGACACCCCGACGTGATGCGTGCCATCGGCCTGGGCGTGGCTGAGTGGACAGCGGAGTGCCAGCACCAGTTCCGCCAGCACCGCTGGAACTGCAACGCCCTCGACAGGGACCACAGCCTCTTCGGCAGGGTCCTGCTCCGAAGTAAGTCTCCTGCCTCCACGCAGCCCTCCGCTCTCCCTGACACAAGTCTCCCCGGATCGGACGGGGTCATCCAAATCCCTGCTCATCTTTTCTTGAATTTTTTTCAGTCAGAAGCAGTCTTCTGTTAGGGGGGAGGGGAGTATTGTCTCTGTTCTGCAGATGAGGACTTGATAAGCCAAAGAACTTGTCTCAAGTGTTATAGGCCAGTCACAGATTAGCATGCAGACCCCAGGCTGGTGTCTTTTTACTTTTTGCTCTGTCCCTCCGAGTCGTGTCACAGCTCTGCCTGTCCCTTCAGGTTCAGATTTTGTCCCTAGGAGAAAAGAAGGCAGCAGCCACAGGGCTTTTTTTTTTTTTTACTGTTTGACTCGTCTTTCGGGGACTTGAACCTTCCAGAAGGATTTGAGCAGGAGATGAGAATGGAATGCCCAAATCATCTATTGTCCACAGATGTTCATTATCACACTAACACGTAACTTATTAAGAAGCAGAGACAGATCTCTGCTCACCACCTTTGACCTTCCATTCAGCTACTCATCTTTGGGTCACACTGTGTCTAAATTAAACATTTTTTTTTCAGCAGACTGTAAATTCCATAAGGCAGGAACTAGCCTGCCCTCCCTATGTCTTGCTTTGTGCCTGTGTCCCTCAGGCACCATTCATTCATTGAATGGTGAAGGAATGAATGGGTGAACTTGTAGTGAATGCCTATTATTTTCCAGGTGCATTTTAGGCAGAAGGATATTTATGGAGGGGAGGGGCGAGAACTATGAATACATACTTGTTTTGTTGTTGTTGTTTTTTATTTAGAAGGAGCATTAAACATGATCTAATTACATAATGTACTTTGTAGAAGTTCTGAATGTGGAAAGCAGCTCACTAGCTGATATACAATCAGAGAAAATTAAGTGAAAATCAGATTTTATTTTCAAGAAATATCCATCTCTTAACCTGCTGGTATTAGCATTCTTCAAGAAATAGCATGGCCCATTTGTTACTGGGAAATCTGACTGAAAACACAACAGTTTATGTGCGAACCCCAGAAACAGGAAACTGTACACTTGTTTTTGCCACCCCCCGCCATTCCTAAGAAAATCGTCCAGACTGTGCACTTGGTAATGCTTAACAGAGGGTGTTTCTATCATGTAATCATCACAGTCCTAGGGTTTTATGAGGCCAAATGCATAACTGAATGTCTCCGAAATCCCCCAAGGGCGTAGTGCACTCACTCAGAGGATCCCTGAAGTGAACTTACTGCCATATTCTGTAACTTTATTCTCCAGTTTAAGAACTATATTCTTCTGCATTCCTTTTGGAGTTTCGGTAGACATCACAAATTTTTGGAAGGTTCACAGTAAATTTCAGTAACAGGGAATTTTCAAACTTCAGCTAGATATGCTCACCAGTGAATCAATTCAAGTGCCGGCCCCTGTCAGAGAGTTCTCAAATATCTAGCACGAGACACCTTTGGACCTTTGGATATATTTGTACATGCTGTCAGTGTTTGGGATACATTGGGACTTTTCCTTTTCAAAGTGCTCACAACCATTGTCCAGTGACAATAGTTTAAACGTACTTCTCATTTAAAATGATAGCTTCTAAATTCTATCTATGGAAATCCATTAAGATGTCTCTATATTGAAAAAAACCCTTTAAATCACAAATTAAAGGAAGTCATTTTGACCACCAGTCTTGAATATCTGCCAAAGCTGGGGATTCACTCATAAAATACTTTAACTTAAACTTGACAATATTGGTTTCTTTAGAGCTATAGAGTTGCTGATAAGGAAGGGACTGGCACTAGTCTTAGTCTAAGGCCTCAGGTAAATCAGAGATTTTAACTTGTACTTCCTTCAGAGCTCTTTCAGATGGCGCTGAATGCTTTGCCAGAGAGTACTCAAAACTTAAAACACACATGCTCCACAATTTCTTTTCATTCTTCACAGAAGGCCAGATTTCTTCGTGGACATTTATGTAAACTCCTGTGACTGTCAGTGATGATTTTGTGTGCATACTGGAAGGGCTGAATTGGGCCTAAGGTAGCTTATCCTGGAAATAATCATGAAATTCCAGTGAAGCCATCCAAAGATTTTTACAATTAATTGCTTGGAGGGAAATTCACTTATTAGAGTTGTGAAGAACTCTCCTTTGGAAACCTAAATGTCTTTATAGATGACTAGGCAACACCATTTACAGGGAGAGCATAAAAGTGACTGACGTATCCCATGGTCACAGAGAAATGGAGAACATTCGCCTCTTTTGCTTCAGAGAACTTAGAGTAAGACAGAGCGATTTTTAGGAACATTTGTAATTCACTCATTTGATAGACTGTCATCAGTCACAGGCAGAGAACTTTAAACACACAAATATTCCTGCAAGAATAGAATATACCTCTAGAATTCTAGAATAAGACTTAAACAAAAAGGTGATTAGGTCTAATCCTTGTAAACGTAAAAGAGAAAAAAAAAGCAAGCATTTTATTTTTTTTGTTTTTTTTTTGTTTTTTTTTTTACGCTGAGCCATCCTGCCACCTGTTGGCAGCTCAGCGGCTGCTCAGCTCGGGCTGGACTCGAACTGCTGTTGCTCAGAGCTCAAACTCTTGAGCGAGCTCTTAACCAACTGAGCCACTCAGCCGGCCCCAAAAAGCAAGCATTTTAAAAGAGAGCTGAATAATCCATAACCTTCCAGAAAGCCTGTCTGCTAGTGTTGTGCCCTCCCCGGTAACAACCCCCTGCCCCAAACAAGAACTACGCTTATGTACTTAGCAGACACTGCTTGACTTATCTCAGTCCAAAACTAAGAGAAATTTCAACAGTAACACATTGAGAAGTCTAAATATCACTATTTAGATTTGGATTTTGTTTCATATAGTGATGGCTTTAAAAAGAACCCGTTTTTCTAACAAGAGTCCCAAGATCAAAATTTGTTTTGTTACAAAGCCAGCTCTTGAAATGTGCTACTATTTCACACATAGCATTTTAGTGATTCATCTAAGACACTTAACTGGAAACATCTTAAGGCCGCATCTACATGATACCAAGACATCTGGAGGTAAAGGGAAAAGTCAGTCCAAGTGCTAATTTTTTTTTAATTTAAATAAACAAACATCTAGCTAGTTAGTAATGTATTTGAATAATAAGTGATAAATATTTAGAAAGGTGATATTTTCATTTTGGAAATTATTTCTAAAATATAGCAGATTTTAAGTGATTTTCTTGTTCTTTCAGCCAACAAGTCAATGTAATTGTTTGCACATTAAGCCAGAATAAACGCTTTGCCTAGACAATTTATTTCTCTACTACTTGGTCACAGACATTCAACCACTCACAGCTTCCTTATCTTTCCTCTAAAAGATCACCTTATACAATTTCTCTTCTTTCTCCTTAAAAAATAAGACTAATGGGAAGTACATTAAGCACGTGTGAATTTCCCCTCTACATAATATCTCTAAATGTGGACACTGAACGTCAAATCCAGAACTAGGTGTTAGCTGCTCAAAGGGGTAACTATGGACGGGGCATTTTCCTAAACTGTAAAGTGGGTATAATAAAAAATGTAATGACAGCCACGAACTGAGTTTTAGCATCTATTAGTCACCATCTTTTAGAAAACATCTCAATTGCACTTAGAAAATCTGTGATCTTTACAATATAATCTGGGACTCTAAAACAGCTCCTATGAGCATCAAGTTTCTCTCTGGAGAGTGCTACCTGCTACCTATGGCAAATATTCATATAATGGATTTTACCTAACTACACGGCATGATTGATTCCTTTTTATGATGGGTAGAGGTTTCGGGGGAGATACTTTTTGAAGGCTGAGGTAAGTGCCATTTAATATGGTGTAGATATGTTTTCCTGATTTTTAATAATGAGACTAGCAGAGCAAATATTGCAAAGGGTGTATAATAAATTTTAGCACTGAATGACAAACGAACCAAGCAGGGCTTCAATGCGAAAAGGTGGTTTGTTCTCCCAGCTGTGTGGTTCAAAAAGTCACACTCGTCCTGACAAATTGAATCACCGAATGGCTCTCCGTTCTCTGCCTTGCATTGGCATGAGGTTATTCAGCTTCTATTTTGATTGTTAATGTATTTGCTGCAGCAACCATTAATAAAAAGGCATGCTAATAACAATGAAATACAGCTCCACTTGAAAAATGAGGTGCACACAGACCCTAAAGAGCCTTATATCTGTCACTGTACCACAACACCGTGTTATGAGTTACTACAGATTATTAAAATAATTTAATGTAGTTATTGCACTGAAATATGTACCTTTCAGCCTGTAAGTGAAAGTTGCCTGTGCACTAATAAAGAACAATTCTAAGAAAGTACCCCAAAGTGTTCTTGCCCAAGTCTAATTATAGGCGGTAAATTTGTTTCCTTCCAGAAAAACCAAAGAAAAGCTTTCCACTGTCTTTTACCCAATACCAGTGATTAGTGCAGGTGTTTCAGAAGAAAGTAAATTCCCTTAATAGTTAGACATAGTATGTAACTCTAGGATATTGCATAGTGCCTTCAACAATCGCTCAGTTACTTGTGAAAGTTGATGCCAAGCCAACGCTCTCTCTCCAGTGTTAGTGTGGGGGCTGCTTGCTGCCTTGAGTTCTCTTCCCACCTCACCCCCTGGATTTCTTTGAATTTAGTATTTCGGTCTCAATCATGTAAATGCGTATAAGTGTCCTCAGTGATGTCTGGAGGCTTGGGAGGCCTATTCAAGGGGAGCTGTTGTAGCATGAATACCCACATATCCGATGAAATGATAGGATTATATTTATAACTCAGACTGTTACAGAAGAAAGGGGGCCTCAGAGAGGTTCTGCTCCTCTTTCTCAGATGTGTAGGAGTCAAGATGAAAGCAAGCACATGCGTGAGACAAACAGGAAGCCAGGAGCCGAGTGAGGCAGGCTTTTGCAGAGTTTTGTTTTATACTCTATTTATTTTAAGAATAGTTGTCATACAGGTTATCTGAATTGACAACAGCTTATATTGGCTGGCGATGCTTCATATTAAAGAAAGATCCTGGGCTCTGGAGAAGACTCCAAGGACTAGTCGCTTTTTGCCTAGTGCGGAAGTGTGTCCGAGGCAGCGCAAGTATTAACCAGCCACCATGTGAAAGTCGTTCCGCACCAGCGACTCCAGACCACTTTTAAGCAAAGCATTTTCGTTTCAGGTAGTCGGGAATCTGCCTTTGTTTACGCCATCTCCTCAGCTGGAGTTGTATTTGCCGTCACCAGGGCCTGTAGCCAAGGAGAATTAAAGTCCTGTTCCTGTGATCCCAAGAAGAAGGGCCCCGCCAAGGACAGCAAGGGCACTTTCGACTGGGGCGGCTGCAGTGACAACATTGACTATGGGATCAAGTTTGCCCGCGCATTCGTGGACGCCAAGGAGCGAAAAGGCAAGGACGCCAGAGCGCTGATGAACGTGCACAACAACAGAGCCGGCCGGAAGGTAGGGGCTGTGGATGGCGCTCTCGCTGCAGGCACGTGGCCTTGGCGGAGCCTATCTTACACTTTCTTAGAGTAGACGAAATGCTATATAGCCACAACTTCCCACTGTCCCCCAGCCCCTAGCTGTTTGTTCTAAAGAATACCACCAACTGGGTTGAAATGTCCCCACCCGTGCCCCACCTTCGTTCCCACAGCTGAGCTGACGGAGTCCACCCATTGCTCTTGGCATTGTGTAGAGTCAAGTGTTTTATGGTCCCTCTGGATACTGTATCATCTAGACAGAATATATAATTTGTGGGTGAGGCTAGTGCTTCATCCCACATACCAGTGGGACGCTGAATGCTTGTATCTAAGGGCTATTAAGGCCCAGAAAGTCTTCTCTCAAACTTATCATGAAAGCAATCACCAGGCATGGCTTACTGGCTTCTTCTGCATTCCAGGGTGCTCTTTTAGAACCAGACTCACCTTGGGGCTTCTGATACTGGATGGATGCATGGACCAGGGGAAGACATGGCCCCAAAGGGGTCCCTAGCCCCTTATTCTCTAGTCCTGACCAATATTCAAAATGACCACCATTTGTTAGATAAGGAGATAATCCCTCAGGTGTTCAAGGTCACATGGAAAGTCAGTAGAAAAGTCAGGACTAGACCCCAGGTTTCACCTCCAGGGGTGCTGTGGCCTAGGATTAAACCATTTCAGTGACCGTTCATACCCATGGGGGAGCCACGTCTGTGCATGGTGGCATGACCAGAATAACGAGAGAATCTGAACACTGCACATTATGCCTCTGGTAAAAAGCATAAACAGGGCTCAGCTAATCAAATATTTGGTCAGAACGATTCTAGACTAATCTAATTGCCAGTAAGAAGAAATAACCACAATTTGTCTTTTGTCAACACACAATTAAAATGTGCTTGATATTAATATATAAAGATCAACAAAATCGAAGGGGGCTTTGATGTGAAAAAGAATAGAAAAGAATGCAGATCTGTTTGGATGAAAACTCTACTACTAGGCCCGTGGAGAGACCAAATCGCATTTAACGGGAGTTGGAAGGAAAGCCCTCTTGCTTAGCACATGGAATAAGATGAGTGTGACCTGAACTGTTTACAAATAGTACCTTCCCTGAACTTTAAAAATCAACATTCCTTATTTTCATGAATTTATGAATTTATAGTGACTACTGCCAAGAATATAGACTACGGTTGTGCAATCCTACAACTATTGGTAATTACTGTTTGTACAATAGTTTGGATAAAGGAAAATTTACATTGACCTTTGTTTTGACATTGATACTGCTAGTATAAGTTATAAAGTGTGGTGTCTTTGATAGGAATGTGCTGCTTAATTATTCAAGCTGGAAATATAGTTAGATCTCTCAGGTTACTTGGAAAGATAAAGGCATATGGTCATATATTGTATCCAAAAGAATGATGACTCAGCAAAAGAAATGTTACTTTTGCTTAATAGGTCATTAGATATTGAATGTTTCAACTCTTCAAGACAACAGATCTGAGCTATTATCTCTTAGGCTCTGAATAAACATGACTTTTAATGTAAATCACATGATTCCTCACTGTGTAGAGTTGTCAGGCCTCAGATATTCTCCTGCCTACTCTGCAAAACCAAGGAGGCTACTTTTGATTGGAATAAAAGTGCACACACTGACTTTTTAAAATGTGGCTTTAATTAATGGTGGGTGGGCAGACTTTTTCAAGGAGATGCATGATGTCAGTGAATATGAACTTTAATGAGAGTAAATGTATTGAGATAAACATGCGTCTCTAATTCTCTTCTTGCGGTCATTAGACCCCCATTTTCTACTCCCCCTTTATACAAGCAGAAGGTCTGTGGAATCAAAATGAGAACAGGCTGGGCTTGCGTTTGAAGGCAGATCTCCTGAGCTAAGCCTCCAACTGGCTGGCTGTAGAAAACCCCAGCCTTCCAGGGCTGACAGCAACATTAGTTCATTTTTATTTCTTCTTTGTGCTTTTCAGTATTTCCCAAATTGTCCAACATGAACATCTACTTTTCTAAATGGTGGTGATGGTGGTGGGGGGAACAATACGTTTTATTAAAAAGAAAAAAAAATCTGTTACAAGATTGTTCTGTTTGACCAATGCTATAAATTGGAATTCAACACTGCCATTCACAAAAGATCTTAATTTTTCACTAATATTTGAGCAGGTTAATTCATTTATTATAGTAGCTGGTTAGAGCACCCTCATGTGTCTTTGTATGGTAATATCATTTTGGATCTCCTGTGCTGTTATGTCATTTCATTTCAATCAGCTTCAGCAGAATTTGTGATGATGTTTCTTTCCTTCATGTTTGCTTGAAACTCATCCTTGATTGAGACTAGTTTTCTACCTCCAAATAGGACTACTACTAAGCCCTAAAAAGATAAATCTACCCTTGTTTAACACAAACATTCTATCAAGAAACACATTCTACAACTTCTCTCAGCAATTCTTTTTGGGTATAAAGGAGCCATGCTATAAAATTTCTAAATTATATTTTAAGACAGGTTTAGCTAAATTACAAGCAAAAGGTATGTGGTTGATAGCCACCATTTGTTTCCTTTCAGGGGCTTGAAAATGGCTTTATATTAGTCCATTCTTTCCCCTAAATGAAATAATCACAATTTATTTTGCCTTTCCTAAGAGAACCTATGTCAAAACAATCCATGTATCCAACCAAATACTGTGATTCCATCACTGGGGATTCCATAATAAGAATAAGAGGAATTAAAAAAAAAACTTTCTCCAAAAGATATCTCTTACATTTTTATTTTAAAGATTTTATTGGGGAATTAGGGGAGAGGAACAGCCTTGGGAAACCAGGGAAGGGGAACAGACAAATTGCTCCCCTTTTGTTCTTCAGTCTAGTTGTGGAGGACGTCACTTCACTGGCCCATGTTGATATTGTGATCATTGCGCTCTTCCTAGCTGAGGCAGATCGGTCGCTGGCCACCAGGCAGCTGCTCACGGCAGCCCAAGGCAGTTCACGCCAGCTGCCGGCCACTCGCGGTAGCTAATGGCAGCCCACTGCAGCCCCACTGCAGCCCACGCCATCGCCGGCGACTCATGGCAGCCCAGCTCCAGGTCGAGCTGCCATTCACCATCTTAGCTATAGAGGGCACAGCGTCACTGGCCCATGTGGGATCTGAACTGGTGGCCCTGCCGCTCAGCGCTCGTGCTCCCAAGCCAACTCTCAATCAATGAGCCACTCGGCCAGCCCAAGGTATCTCTTACTTTGGTAGAGACAGCACATGGGATCTGAAATGAGACCCATCTTAGTTTTAATCTTGTGATACCAGTGGCTTTGCTCACTGAATTTCAGGTTTTGTCATATATAAAAGGGTACAATGGGAAGACAAATGTAAGACAGATTACAGGGAACCTGGCATGTAGTTGGTGCTCAGTAAAAGTCAGTTCCTTTCCCTTTAGTGAAGTGAAAGTCATCTGTAACTTAGGTAATAGGACTAGGTGCAAATCCAAATTAAACTATTACTTAGGATTCAACCTGATTGCTTTGTATAGCCATAGACTCATCTTTGGTACAGTTTAACATACTAATAAAAACTAGGCATATAGTATTTGCTAATGTGCAAAATACTGTTAAATGTTTTGAAATTCAGTTTTCCAAAATCCCATATAGGAATGAAAAACAGTATTAGTATTCTTATTTTTTAAATGAAGAACTGGTCCTCAGAAGGATGAAGGGCCTAACCCAGGGTCACACAGTCATTAAGTGCTGGTCCTAGGGGTTCAAACCCACTGTGTTAACCCCTACATCCTTGTCTACCTTTCCATGTTCTCTGTTGAGAATTTCTGAGACAGACATACAAGTGTGCATGCGCGTGCGCACACACACACACACACACATATACACACACATACACACACATACATACACACACACACAAACACACACACAGCATTTCTGTATTAAAAAAAAAAAGCAGCAACAGAGCAGCCACCACCCTTGGAAGGTAATTTACCAATGCTTTTTTTCCCTTTGTGTGTGTCTTTATTTCACAGGCTTTTAAAAAAAACATGTATTATTTTTTAAATAACAAGGAAAATCTTTTAAATGTCAAGAACACAACCAGTAGTCACTGTGAACAGCCCAAAGCAATTGAGCATTTTTCAGTGGATTCACAAAATTTCAACTCACGGCACTGCAGTTTGAGAACACTATTCCTATGTGCTAATGGGCTAAATTTGTTTCAACAGATAATTTACCATGGAAATTATGTGGGAAAAGCACTGTTTGGGGTACTAAGTTATATGTGGAGAAGAATAAGACAAAGAAGCCCCTGATCACACAAACTAAATTTTAGTCAGGGAGATGAGTGAAATACAACTCGTTGTGAGGCAAGCTCTATGCTAGGTGGTGTAACAGGAAAATCAGCCAAAGGGCTAGTGAGCTGAGGAGAGAAAGGATGTGTCATAAAACAACTGGGTGTTTGAGTGGGAGATAAAGATTTCCCAGGGTTGAGATAGGGAAAACGCTTTCCATGGTGAAGGGACTATAGGACCAAGAAACATACTGGAATGGAAAGAACATCTGGGTGGGGCTCATGATTGAGAGGTAATAGAAGCCAAGGCTGCAAACCCGTCTCAGCAGATCTGGAGAGCCTCAAACGCCATGCTAAGATACTTGGATGTCACTGTGGAGCAATAGGCAGATAGCAAACAATGAGGAAGAAATTAAATACCTAAGTTCCATTCTTATGCATTGCTAATTTCCCTAGAGTCCACTTTGAAAAAGTGATAGATTTCAAAGTTCAAATCTGCTGTGATATGTTTGAATTAATGACTTAAAAAATAAACTTACTAGAATTATGAAAAATTCTACTTCCCTGAAGTTTATTTTCAGCCTTAAATAAACATACAAGGGCTGATATAAATAGTAATGTTCCTGATGTTTATTAATAAAAAATTGGCTTATGACAACTGTGATTATACTTTTAACATAATGTTTACATTATTACTG